CAGCAGATGCGGAGCTAACGCAAACTGAATATTCAGCAGGTCGGGTGCAATTCCGCCCTAACGGTGGACGCTTCGGTGCAAAGTAAGGGCCATTGATATTCCAGCGGAAAACTGTAAAACATTAAAACCTACTGGATAAAAGCAATTTCTGTGAACGTGCAACCTTCCCTGGTGCAAAAACGAATTGTTACAACTACCTAACTTCAACAAAGCAGCATAATACTACATAAACAAAACCTCTGATCTAAATATCTACCAACATACTAAACTTATCATCCCCATTTTGGTGATCAGTCATTGCTAACGCATCTAGGAGATCAGGCAGGACACGATATATATATATCTTTTTGTGTTCTGACATGTTTCGACGTCATTCTTTTGGTGTGTCAACAGTAACATTTGTGTGCCGTTGGCGCTATGCGGTCAGAATAGTGTTCGCTTTTGCACTGTATTCAACATTAGCAGGGAATGGAAAATTTCAGAGGTGGGGGTTATCGATCCCAGGACCCCCGTTACACGATCACCCCTACTCCACATCCCGTATATCTACCCCTTTAGCCCCATGCAGCCGGGCACAGTCCCTCACCAAAATCTGTCTCATCCACCCCTGTAGAAAATTCAATGCTGTGTGCCGTACGAGGTATTTTGAGGTACAGATGCCCTTCCGAGGTCTGGGCGCTGCCAAACCGCGCTCTCTTACCGACTGAAACATTCCGAAGAGTTGTCTTCTGGGACATAACGCAGTGCAGTCCGCTGAAAGCCAACCGACCTTTAGGGGAACACATCGCCTCCATCCTCAGGCAGAATAAGAGAAGACATGGGCGTGAAAGCATGTGGAAACCAGCAATGAAGTAAATACATGAAGCGTGTATCTAATTAAACAGAAATACAGTGAGCTCTCGCTAATCCTGATTAATGGGGGGGAGGTCATCCGTATTAGGCGACAATCCGGATTAATGAAGTAAAATATGGTCCTAAAAGAAAAAAATTAGAAAACAAATAAATGGAAAACGTAATAATAAAGGTAGCAAAGGCTAAAGCTATCCCTGTAACAGGCCGTGGAGGCCCATAAGGCTGTGAGACGTCGAGGTTCCCATATTTTTTCTAGACAATCGGCTCACAGATGGCGGTGAGGCTGCCAGACTTATGCGCCGGCCGCGCTTTACTCCCCAGGAAAATTATTTAATTCCTGGTACTCATTTCTGTTAGAGGCAACAGTGCGGCTGGAAGGATTAGGTCAATTGAAAAATCCAATCAGCTGATCTGGAATCGAATCCGCGACCTTGTAGCACATTGCGTGAATCAACTATGCTGTGTGGTGCTGGTCAGTAACGAAACGACACAATAAGAACGGACTCGGACTGTAATCAGGATCGCTGAAGTCAGTATCCCACGTGACAACGGCAGCCATCTGACCACGTCTTGCAGCGGTGAGTCACTGCAAAGAAGATAACAGCCCAGGGATGATGAATCTGGAGTGACCAAACGTTACTAACTTCCGTGCTCGAAGTCCCATCATAACATCCACTATCTTCCCACACACGGAGTTTCGGGGCAAAACTGATCACCTAATTTCCTTTTATACGACACGGACCGCATAGAAAATGAGGCTTCCATCACTTCCTCGTTGCTGCGGGAACATCTTTACCGAGCCGTACTGAGGCATGAACACACGGGGGAGTTGAGGTACGGCTCTGCCATTCTTGATTTCGGAACTAGATGAAGGTTAAGTGTCAGCTTCAAGCCCCTGCCGCTTTACTCCCGCAACCTATTGTATGAGGCTGGGTGGGCTCCAGAGCCGGCCTGGATACTATGGAGAAGAGAAAGTCTCTTGCCCCTGCCAGGGTTCGAACCCCGGTAGTCCAGTCCGTAGCGCAGTCGCCATACCGACAGAGTTCTATACGTATTCTGATTGTCAGTTATGACTTTACCAACTTCTTGCGCTGATATGGTCGACATCATTATCTCCGGAACATAGAATTCCTATCTTATTGCAAAATGTAGAATTAATTGCCGATTTATTTTTTCCTGATATGCGTTTAGTGATTCTGAACATCAATGATGCAGCAGCGTCAATATGCATGGACCACACCACAACAAACGTACACACTTCAGTTTTGACCCTAAGCATCTGACCTCTACTCTGCGGGATTCTCTGGAATCAGCCCATAACACAGGATTCTTGTATTCACGGCGCTAACGTATCATCAGTGTCAATGCACCGTGCTCTAGTTGAGACGTACCTAACGGGGGTTCAATCTCCTCTAAACATGCAATTCTCGTGAAAACGACAGCTGACGATACAGAGACTATTGGCGACAGATCCATCTACCGGCAGAATTAGTACTACCTGCAACCAACGCTGTTAGCGAAGTACACAACTTCACGCAGCACCATAACAATTTCACTGTAAAGGGAACGGTTACTACTGACCTCTCCTACTGTCATCGGCATCATCCCTATATTCAGAGACAATTAAACAGATGTTTCTAACACTCACAGGGGAATGAACGTAAAGGGGACTTGCAACCAAGAGCGTGTTTACCTCCCATTCAAGACTGGGCAAACAATATTTCATTTCCTGGGGTTGAGAGTTCTATTTCCGCATCAGGCAATGTTGTTCCACCGCAACATATACACTGATGTGGGGGGGGGGGAAGAGCGTGTGTAGCATGGCGTCAGTAACCCGTAGCAACGAACAGGGCGGTCAGCTCCCTGACCTAACGCACTCGTCACTGCATCAACACGCTGCTACGCTCGCAACACTAATCGTGTTTACTGACAGGCTTTCTCGTCGCATCTGCAGTTCCATACTCAATTTAACTCGAAACCCCATAATTCCACAATCGCGTCAAACCTTTCGCAGTGAACCCGAAAACTTAAAACAGCTACTGCACCAAAGGCCGATAACGGCGGTCGCGCGGTCTAAGAAGAAATGTCTTCGCCCCATCGAACACTAGGACCGTGGGTCCGAATCCCGCTTAAGGCATGGATGTGTGTATGCGTTTACTGTTTGTGTTGTTCTGTGTGTAGGTAGCGCCTGCGCCGGGCTGATCCCCCGTACAGAGTCCTACTATCTAAAATGAAGAAACTGAACTGAAACGAAGCGTTTCACGGATGCCTATGCTCCAGGTGGCGGCAACAGGAATACACCAAAGAATGCCACAGGATACGACCGCGAGCCAACTGCATCTCATCTCTCCTCCAGAAACCTCTTCGTCAAAGAGCACGCGCCCTGAAGAACGCCGTCTTCTGGGATGTGGCGCCGTGTAGATATTGTGTTAACCGGCCTTTCGGAAGAACGTATCGCCTCCATCTTCAGGGTAGAAGAAATCTGGGAGCGGTGAACCAGCGTGAGCAAGAGCACGTTCACGGGGCACGAGTATTCAAACATCTCCCTCACCAACATTCTTTCGCAAACAAGACGCAACGTGCAAGGAGGCTCAGGGCTTGTCTAGCGACAGAACTGCCAAGTTGACAGGTTGGATTTTCATGATAAATGACCAGGAAGCTTCCAGCGCTGATTCTCAAGGGCCGTGCCTTCAAATCACGAGTTTGAATCTCACTGGGGCAACTCCAAATACAAAACTATCCACCTGTCGGCTATTGCGCCTAAAATCGGTTTCTCCTTCAAGGGAATACGAAAATCTGTACGTGTAAACTTTGTGGCAAACATCCCTGAGGCTCCGTCATACCTTGAACAGGCAACCTTACTGAATTGTCACGTGTTTCAATGCTGACGTCACGATCTGAGGACGCGCACTCGCAAGACAAGAATATTATGAATAGAGACATCATTACAAATCATTATTCTACAGAGAAGCCCGTTATAATCGTCACGACAATGCACTCACACTGGTTCCAGGTTCCGTTAGAGTATAACCATGGTTACTCACACTGGTTCCAGGTTCCGTTAGAGTATAACCACGGTTACTCACGCTGGTCCCAGGTTCCGATAGAATATAACCACGGTTACTCACGCTGGTTCCAGGTTCGGTTAGAGTATAACCACGGTTACTTACGCTGGTCCCAGGTTCGGTTAGAGTATAACCACGGTTACTTACGCTGGTCCCAGGTTCCGTTAGAATATAACCACGGTTACTCACACTGGTTCCAGGTTCGGTTAGAGTATAACCACGGTTACTTACGCTGGTCCCAGGTTCCGTTAGAATATAACCACGGTTACTCACACTGGTTCCAGGTTCGGTTAGAGTATAACCACGGTTACTTACGCTGGTCCCAGGTTCCGTTAGAATATAACCACGGTTACTCACACTGGTTCCAGGTTCGGTTAGAGTATAACCACGGTTACTTACGCTGGTCCCAGGTTCCGTTAGAATATAACCACGGTTACTCACACTGGTTCCAGGTTCGGTTAGAGTATAACCACGGTTACTTACGCTGGTCCCAGGTTCCGTTAGAATATAACCACGGTTACTCACACTGGTTCCAGGTTCGGTTAGAGTATAACCACGGTTACTTACGCTGGTCCCAGGTTCCGTTAGAATATAACCACGGTTACTCACACTGGTTCCAGGTTCGGTTAGAGTATAACCACGGTTACTTACGCTGGTCCCAGGTTCCGTTAGAATATAACCACGGTTACTCACACTGGTTCCAGGTTCGGTTAGAGTATAACCACGGTTACTTACGCTGGTTCCAGGTTCGGTTAGAGTATAACCACGGTTACTTACGCTGGTCCCAGGTTCCGTTAGAATATAACCACGGTTACTCACACTGGTTCCAGGTTCGGTTAGAGTATAACCACGGTTACTTACGCTGGTCCCAGGTTCCGTTAGAATATAACCACGGTTACTCACACTGGTTCCAGGTTCGGTTAGAGTATAACCACGGTTACTTACGCTGGTCCCAGGTTCCGTTAGAATATAACCACGGTTACTCACACTGGTTCCAGGTTCGGTTAGAGTATAACCACGGTTACTCACACTGGTTCCAGGTTCGGTTAGAGTATAACCACGGTTAGTTAAGTGTGTACTCACCACAATCATCTCGGAGGGCTCGAGAACGAAACACTCGTTGGGTCGCCGAGCGCTGCCTCCTGTTCTCTTACCGAAGCTGAAACACAAGAAACACGCAATACGTTAACGAAATGCAGAACAGAGAAGTGAGCACACAACCCGCAACACAAGAAACGGACCAACAGACCTAGCTTCAGATTGCAGTCTTCTGCTTTACGATGCCGCACAGCCTTCAATGAGGACGGTTCCTCCGAAACGCCGATTGACACCTCCAAGAACACACGATGATACAGACTAGACGTCTAATTTACAGAGAAAGTTAGCTCAGGGGGTAACGTTTCTGATTTGTATTCGAGTGGTTCCGGTTCGAATCTCGGCCAACACACCGATAAGTATCGCAAGAATTAAATTGAAATTGGGAAAGATGTGGTCGTGACGTAATCGAGGCGATATCCCGGAGTCTGCCTAGTCGAGTCCCTTGACTAAGGTTGACTCTGTAAATGATACAAACTCCGTCCTAAGTGCAAACAATATATAGTATTTATATGTCTTTGATCTTGTTCTTTCTACACTACATGTTTCGGCCTCTATCGGCCATCATCAGGTGTATATTCTTAACGTTGCTGCCACACTGAACCCAGTCTAAAACTTAACATTTAAAAACACAATGTCACATTCTTCGTATTATCAACATCTACATCGTTGATATGTGTCTGGTATGTAGATTATGTTGCACACGTCAAACCCGATATTCTTGTAGTAGCACTCTAAAAATCTTTAGTTATGATGTTTTTAAAACCTTTTAAAATTTTCTCTAAATTTTAAATGGTTTTAAAAACATCATAACTAAAGATTTTTAGAGTGCTACTACAAGAATATCGGGTTTGACGTGTGCAACATAATCTACATACCAGACACATATCAACGATGTAGATGTTGATAATACGAAGAATGTGACATTGTGTTTTTAAATGTTAAGTTTTAGACTGGGTTCAGTGTGGCAGCAACGTTAAGAGTATACACCTGATGATGGCCGATAGAGGCCGAAACATGTAGTGTAGAAAGAACAAGATCAAAGACATATAAATATATATTGTTTGCACTTAGGACGGAGTTTGTATCATTTATCGTGTAGAGTGCAACAGGATGCTTAAATATAATATTGTTGACTCTGTGCTCAACTACTTACGCACTACGCCATAAAGTAGTATGGGGGAGCGGATGTATATACTATATACGTGTTCTTGACTGCGGCACTAGTTGAGGTGAGTGGTCAGCTTCACGCCCCGACCGCTTTACCCCGTGGATAGGAGAGTGGGCGGACGACCCGGAGTGCGCAATGAGATAGGCAGCGACATTTATTCCCATGCATTTCAACTAACGGTTCACAGCCATTTTCACGACGCGTTAACTTCTGCAGTTGGTAAAGGATCGTTGAATAACTGCAAACCAAAGAAGCCAGTTGTACCGCTGAGAGGCATCGCCATGTTACAACCAGAAAATGTGATATGTTAGTGTCCAGACAACAGGCCTGTAAAAGTTCTTCCAAACTCCGCCTCTTCAAACGAGAAAGAAAGCCGCGCTCACAGTACATTTGCAGAGGCACTCCCGAACACCGGAGGCCACAGGGAAAAATGCTAGTTCTACTCTTTGCCTGTCTTCAACGCTGCATAACTGCAGGGGACCTCTGAAACTTCAGGTTCTTGAGGGGGGTTAACTACCTTCGGGCACGTGATACAGCCCAGTCTGCTTGATCTTTTGACTCTTGAAGATGGAGACTGTACCGTCTTCCGAAACCTCGATAAACTCCTACCAGAGTGTACCGTGTCACGTTCTAGAAACAGCACTCTTTATTCTAACGAACCTTTCTTCCCATTCTGTTCTATGTCGGCTCAAAGCCAAACTGGCAGAACCAGAGAAGACCGCTGCTAGGCAATGGCTCTGTAAACATATTTCCACGGAAACCAAACCACGTGGCAGTTGCAACAACACAGGAACTGTTGGAGGCGGTGTTCTCTGTTGGGTCCGTTGTCGAGGCTATATAGACTAAACTTAACAGAGATATGCTACCCGTGTGGAGGCGGGTTCGAACACCACCGTAGCCCTGCGAGTCGTAGGAGGCGACGAAAAGGGAACCCAGTGCCTGGGGCTATGACTGGGCCGCCCTGTTCCTGGGAGATATAAACACGGGGGCCTGTCCCTCCAGGTTGGAGGAGTCTCGAATCTGAGACAGTGAAATTTGGGCATGAGTCCCGCCGGACTCGGACCCGAGAATGACTATGCTGGCGAGGACCAGCAACAATTGTAAACGACAGACCCGTCCTCTCGTCATAGGGTATGTCACATAAGGACTATGACAGCAAGTGTTCAGTTGGAAAATAAAATTACTGTGTCGTGTCCAGACGGGGACTGCAATCAAGACTGACTGTGCCGACGAGGGCCAGTAGCAACTTACCGCTATGCTATGCGACTAGTTCTTCCAAAATCTTGTTTCATTCCTTATAATTTGTAAAAAAAAAGCATTTAATTAACTTCAACTCTTGGGCCTAGAGCAATGCATGTCACATTTGAATAAATTAACGTGCAGCAATAGACGAGTCTTGATTTCATTTGCCCTATTACGAATAACCTTCGGATGAGCAAGCCGAACGCAGCGAACCGCATTGAGAAACAGGTGCTTTTTGTGGGTACGGAAGGACAAAGGATGCTCTGAATTGCGGGACAGAATAGAACGCCATTGTCTTCACTTTCACTGTTATGACGTCACCGTCAACAACAGTCGCATCGAGAGATCGATGTCAGATCTTCATTTCGTCCTGTCGTCTCTGTCACTGACTTCCTTTCAGCCGAAACATAAAGTGGCGTGACGTCATCCGCAGAATCCAATCTTTGAAATGCTCTTGAAAGACGAAGTGAGCGCTTGATGAGGGTGGGTGAGCTCTGTCATCAAGGGAGGTACTTGCTTGACTCGCGAGGGGATCAATGTTGTTTTGAACATCACGCAGGATACACACAGGCCCGGGAGCTGGAACTTCAAAGAACGAGAAAGCACACAGAAAAATTTAAAAAAAAAAAAAATTTCAAACAAGAAGAAATTGCCTATTTTCCGAGAGAGAGAGAGAGAGCGAGAGAGAGAGAGACGAAAGTGGGGAAGTAATGAGATACACTAGATTTGGGGGGGGAGGAACTATATTTCCGGTTTTGAAGGCTCCCAGGCAGTGCCCACTCGTCCTTCTGGTAGAGGTAATGCATATGGTATGACGTTGGAAGCTTGGGTACCAACTCAGCATTTGCTGTAGGACCGAGGAAAACCACGGAAAAGCTTGATCGACTTGGCCTGTCGCAGGACCTCCCGGATGCAAAGTGACTTCTAGCCAGCAGTCCGGCATTGAATACGTGAACCCTAACGTTCAAATATTTGTTTTCACAGATCTCCTTTTTATGTGCATACTTTCCTTTCACTACATACGGAGTATTCCATACGACCCGGACCTCATAGAACACACCGCGTCTGAAAGGCATTATATTGTTGCATGTGTATTTGTTGCCTAGGGAACGTATTTTCTCGAGTCGTTGCCCAGCAAACGTCACACAGCAAGGTGATCTCATAAGCCTTTCAGTTTTCAAAATAAGGAAGTTAGGCTAAAAATGGTTGAGACGGCTAGTTCGAGCTTAACAACGCTGTTCCACACACAGCGGTTATTCGCCGTCAAATGATACGGCTGGATGAACGTGAAAGGAATTTTTGAGAAAGCGGTCGAGACCTGTTACAACTCAGGGCAGTCGGTATCCCGGCCCAGGTTCGAACCGGGCAGCTCCCGAATACAAGGCAGATCGTTCGGGTGCCTTCTTCAGAGGAACAAATGTTCCCACACACCGGGACGGGTGTGTCCGAGGTGTGACTGAGCACAGCGTCTCCCCTGCCGAAGTATGTGTTCTCATGCTGCCTCAGCACCCGGCCCCTCCGAGGGCAGGGCCCCTGTGGGGGAGGCTGCGTTACCTTAGCAACAACACGACAGCAATGCATCACGTGGCTGTGGACGCAGCGCAACTGTCTGGACCCTACGAGTTGTTGCAACCGTTCATCCTAATTTGGTGCATTATTTTGTATTAATTAAATCTATATTAAGTTAATGTCACGTAAACACAAACAGATCCGGCAGATAGCCAACTCTTACACGCAGAAGGGACATAGTTCAAGTTTTGCTATGTGGACAGGAAGTAACATCTGGGATATTTCCTGGAATTCTGGCAGTTTCAGCAAAGTCGGAAAGTCTTTGAGAATTTGAGAGCTGACAGCTTGGAACAGCTATAACTTAGAAGTGGGAGGGCCGGAGCCTCATCCCGTGATCGTAATGCATCAAGTCGCTGTCAACCTTAGCGTCAGGTCAGCAACTGCCAGAGTCACATAGCAGAGCAACCTGATTGGAAATTACATATTTAGGGAAACTCCTAGTTTGAAAACTTAACCAATGGCAAAGTGGAGGAGTGGATTTCTCCTGGAGTCTGGGGTTCGTGGACCTCAGGATTCAGAGAGAGCGCATTCCACCTCTAGGAGTCTGCATCCAACTTTCGGCCAAGTCAGGCACAAATTACAACTACGTCCCTTCAGTAAAAGTATCGAAAGTTAAAATCCAAATTAGTGTTATTAGTAGATTCCGTTGTATTCAGCGAGCTGGAGGGAATTAAATAATTACTAAGTGACTGCAGTGTAAGAATCTTTCTGCCCTGCCCGAGCCAGACCCGTATAAGACCCCGGGATTAGAACTCATCTCTACCAATTACAGAACAGAACCCAGATACTCCTGTCTTTCCCTACTTGCGAGACACCTGACGGTAGCCAAGGAACGGACTCTCGCCTACACGCACCAACAACCACAATTCTCCTCCCTTCTCACCTAACTTCTCGCGATCCACGAGGAGGAGGAGGGCAGTAACTCCAGTGGAGGTGTCCAGAAAGAGGTGCAGGTGAACCGCAACACAAGGAAGGAGAGGACCCAGATAAGTGGAGACCAACGTAAAGGACCCAACGAAGTGAGCGGTTAGAATGTCTCTGTGCTTAACTGCTTTAAGCACTCTGCCATGAAGACACATGTG